ACCCACCCTGAGCCCGTAAATCTTCCACCCATGGAATATTCCCTTCCCGAGAGAATCAGCCCTAATCCCTCAGCCAGGGCCTGGAGGAGCAGCCCAGGCCGTGGGCACAGCCAGGACTGTGGACATTTCATGGCCTTTCCACTCCTACTCCAGCTGCCTAACAACTCTGCACTGCTCCCCTTGCCCACCTCCCCCGTTACCCCATCAAGACACCGTGCACAGTAGGGGACACTGGTTTTCCCATGCCCATTGGGAACTGGCTGTTTTGTCTTCTGGAGTAAAAAGGTTCCTGTGGGTTGGGTAAGGTCTCTGCTTGGCTGGAAGTTAGAGCCACTGACCACACCTACCTCCTCTGGGCATGGAGCAGCTCTGGCCCTCAGACCTCATCTTTCCAGCAGAACTGAAGGGAAGACCGTGTGTACCCTTCTGTCCCTCACCCTTCACATGCCCAGAACCATCAGTGTCGCACTTCCTAATTCCTATCACTGTATTTCATTAGTTCCATACTGTTTTACTAATCCTGAATCTAAACAGATTGGTTCAAAAGGAGATTGTTCTATTTTTAAAGTAGCTGGGGCTTCTGGGGATGGCCTTGCCTTGCAGCCCTGAACCCGCTGATGGGAGGTTCCTGGGCCTCAAGGCAAGGCTGGCTGCTGGGGCCTCTGGGGGCGGGCCTTGCCTTGCAGCCTCAGAACCGCTGATGGGCGGCTCCAGGGCCCAACAGCAAGACAGGCTGCTGTGTCTCCTGGGTCCCAGCGGAAGACACGATCTGATCGCTCCCCCATGGCCACGCAGGCCAGCTGCAGTGCCTCCTGGGTGGCGTCCCCCTCTTCCCTGCCCTGCCAAGATTCCGAGCCCGGGAGTAGGGCCGCCTTTGCCCTGCCCCCCGGCTCTTGACTGCCACCTGGGTTTCTGATGGCAGGTGGCTTCTTCCATCCTTCCCCTTTCGCCTCCCAGCATTGCACCTATGTATGCAAATTAACCACCATCTTTGTTGGTGGTTAACCGCCATCTTTCTTGGCAGTTAATTTGCATATTGCCCTGATTAGCCAATGGGAAGCATAGCGGAGGTATGGTTAATTACCCTTTTTGTCTTTTATTAGGTAGTATTTGGAACATAAGAAAGATTAAAAAGCAAAGATCACTAAAAACGTTGTCTATAATTTAATGGCTTAGTTTAGAATGTAACATCTTGGATTGGAAAACCTAAGGTTTGCATCTCTAGTCCAACATTGATTAGTTGTGTGACTTTACCCAAGTTTGTTGACTGTTCACTCAGTTTCTCTATATTCCTTCAAAGAACTCTATTAGGCTATCATGTGAATTAAATGAGAAAGTATACATTCTGTATAATGTCTACTATATATTAAGCTTTCAACAAGTGTTAATTTTATATCACTACTTCCCTTGCTGCTTATTAGAAGTTGATGAAGCTGAAAGAGCAATGAGGACTGGTATATTCAAGGAAGAGTTTTAAAGAGAAGATGGGAAACTAAGTTGAGCAGCCTCTGTATTTATCTCACTCTGGGGAAAAGGAATTGGTAAAAAGAGGAATTTGAAAGAATATTTCTGGGAAAGTGAATAAACCACTTTGATGATGCAGCAGATTTGTGAGTGAAAGTGGAAGATGATAACTCAAGCTCAGATTTAAAGTTTACATATGTGGGTTTTATCTTGCTACAAAGTAAAACTCATCTCTACTAAAGGCAAATTTCAGGTTATAGAAATCATTTATATATGATAGAGCAAAACTATGAAAATTTTAACACTCAAGGAGAAGGCATTAACAAAGATCTAATAATCTCCCAGATATACTGGACTTCTTTTAATCCTCTAAATGTAATACCAAGTGAAAAATACATAGAAATAAAATGTGAAGTGAAGACTGAAAACACTGTTAGGAAGGTTAAAAAAATATTGTTTGACAATACATGTTAAGAGGTAATGATCACAGTAAGAACTCTTTCAGCTAAAATTTGAGCCTGAGAAATAGATCAAGGGATAAGAGAAAATATAATTCTTCAAAAGGGATCAGAGTAGATTGCACTCTAATAACCCATTTGATTCTACAATTCCATTAATAATTCTAGCTGTACATTTCTCAACCTTTTATCCTAGGGCTTAGCCAAAATTAAGTCAACTAACAATAACATTAGCAATAAGCAAGAGAATAGAATTGTGTTTACTGTGGTTCCAAAGAGATTTCCAAAGTAGATACACAGGTAAAGAATAAATCCTCTTAGCTATTTTTGGCTTTAAAATGTTTGTGCAGTGCAATGCTTTGCTCCTAGATTAACCCATTCACTCACTCACTCACTCACTCACTCACTGCATAGGTAGTTGTCCTATGGCAATCATGAGTTTTAAAATATGATTAGTTCTCTAAGGAAAACTTCAGATTAATAAGCACAATTTATGATATTCTTAAAATAATCTAAAGGATTACTTTAAAATCTTCCTTTGTCAATACTAAACTAATAATAGACTTTATTCTTCTTTTCTTTCTCTGTTTTTTAAAAGTAAAGATCTATACTTAAAATGTTACGTGGTACAATTTCAGTAGTTCTAGTGTACACAATAAACATTAGCTCTAAAAGTATTTCAAGATACGTTATGGAGTTTAACTCTTCATCAAATTGTTCTAAAATAACTGCATTTGAAGAATTAATAGAGAGAAAATAATTCATACTAGAGATGTTCTCTTAATAACCTTTCTAAAATAAATTAAGAGTGCCTGATTTTATAAATCTATAAATCTATTTGATCCTGTGTTAGCACATTCATATAATGGACAGTGCTACCACTTAACGAGGTGATTACATAAATTGGTGCATCTACTAAGAAAAACAATCAAGAGTAATTTCATGATTAAAAGTTGGTTATTTCTTTCACTCCATTCTAAGGTCTCATACGAATTATTTCTCAATGTGCTATACTGGATTTAAATTCTAGTGCTGCAATGGGAAGTTTTATGAGCCTGAGGTGGGTTCCTTTTATGAACATTAATTCCCTGTTTGTGAAATTGAGGATGATATTCCCCATAGAGATGCTTTAGGAATTAGAGTAAATGTATATATAAAAACATGATAGACATTTAATAAATGTTAGACGTGGCTAAATTTAGTTGAATCGATCTGCTTCTTCCTTAGGCCAGAGGACATGCTAATTTTTACAAGCATGCCGGTTTGTATATGAAGGTGAATTTTCTGAGTGTTTGGTTTTTGATTTTTGTCTGTATGTGAGGAACATTAGGGCACAATTCTCCACGGATCTCACATGTTTCTATATGCCTTCTAAGCGAAGGGTAGGATTCTTTGCTCTCTAAGATGTCTCCTTTGGGGGAAAGTTGGCAGGTTTGCTAGTAGTCTTCTTTAAAAAGATTGGGGTTTCCTAACCTCAAGGATTTCAGCTGTCACTGAAACAGATCTGATGTTCACCATCAAGCTGGATGAGTCTGTATGGCCCCACGGGGCAAAGGGAACAAGAGGAACCATGTGACCATGAAGCTTATGCTGTCTGTTGTGCCTTAAATTCTCAAGAACCTTCTGCCAGCTTCTATGCAAGTGAGGCTGGTTAGCTTGCAAGCAGGGTAACATCTCAGGCTCTTCACAGATCTTGACAAGGACTAGCTTACCTAAAGGAACGTTATTCCACCCGATGAGAAAAACTACGTAGAAACTAGGGATGTGGTAATGAGCTGTAAAGCATAAAGCTAAGAGTTAATAAAATTACTCCACCATATTATGCTTCTTGAACAGAGACACTTATTAAAATGTCCTCACACTTTTATCACACACCATTGTAGTGACAGTGAAACAAAAATAAGATGAAGGATATGCAAACTGGTTCTCTACTTCATATTTGCACAGGACCTGGGATAAGATCAGGTCCTTGTTCTTTTTCTGTTCAAATTACTCTTTTGATGCAAACATTTTGTTCCTGCCTGGATGAGGGCCTTTGTTGTAACTGCATAGTAAATTGATTTACCTGACAGTGTAATGGAAGACTAAGAGACATGACCATGTGCAGAAAAGGAAAAGTCAGATTAGTAACTTCAGTCTTCCAAAATAAAAAAGTAAAGGTTTCCGAAAATGAACAGTCATTCGGGTCCTGTGTGCAGAGAAGTGAACAAAATGAATCTTCACAGAAAGGATTAGATTAGATATAGAAAGTTAAAGCTGGATCAGACCATAGATATCATCTAGTCCAGTCTAGAGAGATTCGGTCACTTGTTCAAGGTCACACCATGCATTTGGCGGGACACAGATCTCATAACTACAAGGCCAGCATGTTATTTCTCTATATCAGACATTCCACACTGTGACAGCAATACAGAAGGAGTCTGCACAGCCTGGAAATAAATCTGAGAGAGTTTCTCTTTTTAATTTATTGTCTCTTTCCTTCACTTTAGTGGAGCCATTCAATTAATTTTCTTTCATGCTACTGTGTTACCGTGACAGTTGTAATATAAGCATTTTTAAGATTTATAAATATGGTTTCTTACCTAGGCTAATTTATAAAGTTTCTATTTCTAGTACAATCGTTTCGATATCAAATACTTTATAACAAACATGAATGAGTACTATTTATGAAATGGTAGTGAATGACTTTAGTGTTATTTGTATTTCAAATGAGCCTAGTTGGATGTTTTCTATAAGTGTTTTTGTCAACATTTTCCAAGGCAGGCTTGGGGAATGTGCTGTATGTCATTAATGTGTTATGTTATTTATTACTTTCATTGAATTAAATATATATGTGTATATATATTTCATTGTATATACTTTTAGTTTAAATCACCAGGTTAAGTGAAGGGTTCTGTAAATAGTAATTTGGATGATACAAATTTCAATTAAGGCAATATCTAGAAGTGAGATCATGTTGAAAAAGTCCAAGGGAATATTAGATGGAGAATTTCCCATAATGACTACCAAAATATTTACATATTTAAAAGTAAGTGTGTGTGTGTGTATGTGTGATTGAGCATAAAATAATGCCAGGTAAAATTTTTACCATCTTACTCTGGATTATATCTTTAAATAGATGCCAATAATACTGCTATTCTAAATCAAATTAAGTATATTTTTAGTATAACTATACTTTAATATACCTACAGAACAGAGTAAAGAATTAAAAGGGTTGAAAACTACTTGGTTTTGACTCAAAAAAGAAATGTGGAAAATCTGAGGGACTGAATTAGACACCAAACCCCCCCTGCAGTGAAGGTGCTGAAGGCTTTCCTAAGGCTAGGGCCCAGGACAAAGTCAAAGCAGTGTTGTGATCGAGTGCAACCATTCAACTATGTTAAAGAGACAAAAGTAATTGTATGTGGGTGATTTTGAACAGGTGATTATCAGGTTATTACTTCTTCATTGACTCTTTTTTTTTTCTTTTTAGATGGAAAACCAAAAGACAGAGACTTTAAAAGGCCTTGATATTCCTAAATCCTTAAATGGTAGGTATCCAGTTAGAAATATTAATTGGTAGTTTAAATCTCCTGACTGATCATCTTAAGAAGAAGACCTATGCCATCTTATACTCAAACTACCTACTACGGAAAAGAACTTTAAGCTTATATTTAAAGACTAGTGGCCCAGTGCATGAAATTTGTGCATGGGGTGGGGGAAGGTTGTCCCTTAGCCGAAACTGCACCCTCTCCAATCTGGGAACCCTTGGGGGATGTTCAACTGCCAGCAGATGTCCCTGTGGGATTGGGCCTAAATCGGCAGTTGGACATCCCTCTTGCAATCCAGGACTGCTGGCTGCTAACTGCTCACCTACTTGCATGCCCGATTGCCCCTAACCACTCTGGTGGCTGGCCTGCTCGCCCCCAACTGCTCCCCCCTGCCGGCCAGCTTACCCCCAGATGCCCTCCCCTGCCAACCTGATGACCCCCAATTGCCCTCCCTGGCCAGCCTCATGGCCCCCAACTGCTCTCCCTGGCCAGAGGCCCTCCGCTGCCAGGTGCAGAATGCTTGCCTAGTTTCTGGGGCAATGAGGCAAGTGTTCTCCACGCCCCCCCCCACACACACACACACACACCAACCGCTCCATTCCCGCTGCCCAGAGGCCCTCCGCAGCCGGGGTGGAACACTCACCTCATTGCCACGGCAACAAAGCAAGCATTCTGCCAGGCCACTCACGCTGCCCTCTCTCAGCGGCCGTCCCCCCAGGACTGGGGGACTTGGGCGGGGCTGAGAGGACTGGGCGCCACCATCTTGTGGCTATGGGTGCTGCCATCTTTGTGGTCAATTTGCACATTCCTTCTTTATTAGATAGGATGGTACTGCTAACTGAGTTAATAAATCACACATTAT